GGAGCTGCCTCTAAGAAACATTCGAATATTCTCACAAGAGCCACATCACTGTCTTCATTGACTAGCCGGGCATACCACTTCTTCTGCTCTTCTCGATCATTTCGAAATTCGGCTCGCTTACATTTCAGCGTGTAAATCAGTGTTTTCCAGTACCTGATTGATATTAAAGATTGCTGATTAGTTGGTCTTCTCTGTTGAATGTAGCAGATATGCTTACCGAAATACGATTGGAAAAATGATGACCGACCAAAAGATTTCGAAAATATTCAATTTCCGAATTGCTCCTTCTCTTCGATCCTCAGAATAGCTAAAGAAAGGAATTCAAAAGAGGAACACATTGGCAATCAAAGAAAAGTTCGAAAATCTATCCGATCTAATTGACTCACATCGACAATTGAAGAAACATCGTGACAAACATTGGAATGATGAAACAGCACATGGTCCATGTGAAGTGATGAACTTTGTCACCATGGAAATAATGTAATGCCAACAGCAAAGTGGAAATGATGCTCATAACGCGGCTGGCAATTGATATGATTGTAAATAAAATATCACATTTGTTCACGTCAATATCGTCGCCATCGGGTAACGCATTCAAGCTATCGAGAATATCATTGACCCGCTCTTTAAGCGTTGCGTCTGTTTCGGTGTTCACCTCCATTTTGACTGATTTACTTGCAACTAAACAACATTCAAATGAACAGCATCTTTTTTACCACAATAATTAGACTAACAAATTTGAGCATTGAGTAAAATCGTGTGTATTTATCACACATTTGTCGAGCAAAAGTATCGAGTATTCAACAAGTAACACGCTTTTTTGGCTACCACACAACACAAACAATGAAACCTTCTGTGTGCAAATGTCAATAACAACAGCAATACCAGTAGACAAATAAACATGCACTATGACAACCCGACTTGAACTCTCACATGTAGTATTGCCGTTGTTAACAACATTCTGGAATGGACCAAACGATAAACAAAACATTTCCATGTACAAAACTTTTAACGTGTTTTTTTTTTAATTTTTAATTCTTTGTTTTCTGCACCGTTTATGCATTTTTTTAAAGATTTTTTTTCTGTGTAAAATGAACTTAAAATTAGAAAAAAAAGGCAAAGTTGCTTTAGAGAAATGTCCAAACTATGACAGTTGGTTCGAGCGAAAATTGTGGATCATCTCGTTGACGAATCTGTAGAATTCTTTTCTTTGTTCATTCTTTCGTCCGATGACTGGAATGAATGTAGTCGTGTTCCGAATTTCGGTGGCCGTTTCGAAAGTTCTTCAAATTTTCGCTTCGACTCTTTTGTATACTTGACACTAGTTCGTTCATTGTGACTCAGCACAGATCGCATTGTATTGGCCAAAAACCGTTTGTTTGTTCGTTGTGTTTTCATACGCCAACCACTCGGACCAATTTCTTCGGCCAATCTCGATGCACGCTGAGTTTCACGTTGAATCTCTTCAATGGCTCGACTAAAATTGGTAAAAATTGGAGGTAAATACCATTTGAAAATGGTGAAAAACCGATCCATTTTGCCAAACACTTACTTTGTTAAATCTACTTCACTTTCTTGGCTTTGTCCGTCTGTTTTGGCTGTAGACATTTTTGACTTTTTCGGAGAAACAGCTGTATGCTCGGTCTTGGGGGATTTTTGCTTACTTTTCAAACTTCGAAAGAATTTTTGCGCCAGCAATTGCTTCTTCTGCTCGTCAGAAGACATTTCGAGTGAATACAATGATTAATTTCAAAATCAATAATCATTCACTGAGAATTTTATTTGAGTGTTTTTTTTTTAAACAGACAAAACAAGTTTGATTTAAATATTGGAATTCGTCTATAATAATCGTCGAAGTGAGACTTGTCGACGTATTATTTTTATGTTTATTTACATGGAGCAATACGCTGGAAAGCCAATGACATTTGGCAGTTGAATGGAAAGCATTCCATTGACAGCGACCGTTTGACAGAACGAGATGGTGCTGTGTGTGCGTATACATTTGTTTCGGCATTTCAACGAGTTGAACAAGTGAAAAAAAATTGTGAAATGAATATCAATGTTGTTTGTAATTGTCGACCAAACTGTAATATTCGAATAACTGCTATGTAAGGAAATGTTGAAAAAAAAACATAATTTTCTTATGAATAAACTTGAATGACTTTTTTATTCACAATATTCCCAAAACATGTATATCAATCGAGGTAGATGAGTGTTCATAGTTTTTGTTCATTCTAATTTTCATACATATAAGTAGGTATATTATTTTCATCATAGATACACCGATCCCACTAAAATGAATCAAA